CCCCCCCTTTCCCCCCCACAACCCCCAACCCAGAAACCTCTCTCCTCTCCAAAACCATATACCCAATCCCCACAACAACCTCACCCCTTACCCACCTTCTTACCGTTCCCTACGTTAACATGATAATTCTGGATCTTAGCTAGAGGGATCTAACTTATAAAACTTGATTAATGGGTATGTATAAGTATTAATATAAATTATATATATACAAAACAAAGAAGAAAGGATTAAAAAGGATTATATAGTAAATCTCCCCTACATCCTCGTTTACGATAAGAAGATTGGTCGACTTATTTTACGAGGTAGAGGAGGGGGAGTTACATCCCTCCCGTCCCTTCCGCTCCCTTCTAAGAACACCTAGTTTATATCCTACTTATTAATATGGAGATTAAAAGATAGACAGACAAAGTCCAAGTCCAAGTACAAGGACAAGTCAAAACATAAAATAATAGCTTAATTTCTCTTCTCTAGACTCTATACTCACTACACTATACCCTCCCCACCATCTCACCCCATTCCCCCCAATACTCTAAAAAAAAGAAGAAGAAGAAGAAAGCGAAAAGAGACGAGCAAACCAGAAGAGAAAAAACCCCGAAAAAAGAAACCCCCCCAAACAAACACAAACTCAATTAATCCATCAATCCACCCCCAAATCCCACAGCAAGGAAAAGAAAAGAAGAGAGGTAAAGAAAGGTCTAGGTATCCTATCCTATCCTATCCTATCTCATCCTCCTACAACTCAACACACCCAGCACACTCAAAAGAAAAGAAAAGAAAAAATAGAAAAACGCCCCTCAGAAAAACACACTCCCTCTCCCCCTCCCCCTTTCCCCCACTCCCTCACTCCCTCATCCATCCATCCACTGAATCAAACCCCCAAAGTTCAGACCATACATACCACATCATTCGCAACAACCATTACTCAAACCCCTTTCACCATTCTATGAATCCCTACGCTCAGAAATCCGGGAGTGCCAATGAGATGGGATTGGTACGACGGTAGAGTAGATCGACGGTGGGTCTCGAGAGAAAGAGGTACAAACGGGAAAAGAGGTTGGAGAGAGCAGTACAGTACAGTACGCTGAAGAAGACGGAGACGGAGAAGAGGAATGGGTATCGTATCGCAACGTATCGAAAACTCCGTCAAATAATGAAGAGCGAAGAGTGGAGGTGAAGAATACGAAGAGACGAAGAGACGAACGGACAGAGAGAAGACCAATGGGGTATCGTGTCGTATCGTATCGAAGAAACGTGGAATCGTCAAAAGAAGAAAAAAGACCGGCGTACTCGAGTAGCGGAAAGAAAGAAGTCTGGAAAAAAGAAGAGCACCGAAACCAAAGACAACCAAGGGCAATCAGGAAAAGTTCTATTTCTCGATTGATCATGATTGAAAAAAAAACGATGGAAGTAGTCGTTAATAACCCGTGCCAGAACAAGAAACCCCAGGTATCTAATACGCCTCACCGAGACCCAGTCGATCCCCTCGAATAATCCTCAAGAAAAAGTAGTACCCTATGTAATTCTTTCCCCTTTGTCCCGTGTACCCATCGCGGATGTGTGGTCGGAAAGAACAAAATCTACAAGTGTAACCAAACACCATATCATTCTTCATAATCACAACTTCAGGGTGAAGTAGGTCCAGGCGCAGCAGCTTCATCAGCATACGCCATCTGTGATGTGGCTGACAAGGAACCATTACGTTGTGCAATGACTTCTCTCGCGTAAAACTCCACCAGCATCGTACCATAGGCCTCGAGTTCCTCTACAGAAATAGACAATCTAAAATCGTTTAGGAGAAGGAACTGAAGCTCAAGATGATTCAATTCCGCAAGAGGGAGTCCTCCAACCTATGATGAATGTTAGCGCATGATTCATAAAGAAGGCAAATGGGGGGAAAATAACGTGAATCAACATACCTTTGCATATCTAGAATTCGTGTAAAACACATCAGAAAAGAACTTGCTAGCACAAGTAACACCAGCAATCACAAGTCTGTGAATGTTGAAACTATCGACGATAAAAGGGGGTGATAGGGGTAGGGAAGCAGAACTAGGTCCAGCTGGTGTATGAGTGTATTGAGCTTTCTGAAAATCAGCATCCATTTCTGGGACACTTCTAGAGGTAGTAGGTGGGCTATCAGCCTCGGAACTCGACGATCCAGTAGAAGGTCTTGTATTCTCCTGATCCACCGAAGAATCTCGACGTAAATTTTGAAGAAGACTAGCATTGACACGCTCGGTCATGCGTTCAAAGTATACTAATAAACTCAAGAAAACCTCGTATGTTGTTGGGCAATACTTATGTATTCTGCTCAAATAACTCAAAATGGTAATGCTGGGCACATTCTTTCCATGAAAAGCCAAAACGCTGGAAGAATCTGTGCTCATGTTGGCAGAAGGATCCCCAGATGATAGGGGGCGATGCACATTATTTTGTTGCTGATCATTTGTTGTGGTCATTTTTGTGAGAAGACCAGCCACCATCTCAATAATATCGGTGATTGGCATCCCACTAATTTCATATTTTGGGGTTGAGTCATCCGCGGCTCGCCGTCTTCCCATTCCTCCCCCGGATGCATGTTCCTCGGTGGTAAGAGCTTGGATGTGCGCAAGATCTCGGACTTTGATGGGATTTCCAATATAACCTTTGACATCATCCGACGATTTGACCGGTCTTGGAAGAGGAGGCTGGGTCGCAGATTCTTGGGTAGCACTATTCAGTGATTCATATCTTAAAGCAGGGTTATCGTAGGGTGATCTCTGGGATTGAGTAGTATTTCTGGCCATGTTCTCCTGACTTGGGAATCGGGTTCTTATATGAGAGGTCGGCTGAGGACTCGAGCTCAAGGGTGGGGATGGTTGTTGTCCTGCGTTCACTTCCGTCTTTCCTTCCACAATTTCCACCCCAGAATCATGTTGTGTTGATCTTGTGCATGGGCTCGATCCGACGGCATCCGTAGTAGTAGAGGGATGAGGTCGAGGACTGGGGGGCTCCACTCGTGAGGACTGTCGATATGTAGATTCAGCAGAGCAGCGCTGTTGCCCAGATGCACTTCTCATGTTCAGAGAGCGATGATAGTGGGATCGTGTGGTGTCCGATCCAAAATCGCTGCCGTAGTCACTGATGACCGCGGCCATATCATGCTACAGTTGGTACAAGAAATTCGTGGTACTGCGGGGTACAATCAGCATGTGCTTTGTGGACGGTAATTTTAGACGTGGACCAAGTTGCCGCGCGGTATGGAGACGCAACGAGATCGAGATTGAACAAGTATGGGTAGGACCAGGCAGACGTGATTCTGGAGAAGAAAAAGAGATCGAAAGCGGTCGACTGGAGGACCTGGAGAAGATATCACAATTCGGCGCCAGAAAAGGCCGATCGCAAATAGAAGCAGGACACCGCGTACGAGAGTACCCACACGGCCCGAGACACTTGACAGAGGGGAGAGAAGGTAGGACGATAACAACGTTGTGAGTAGCGAACGCGCACTTTTGCTGCCACAATATCACGTTTATGAGGGAGAGGAGAGGGGAGAGAGTGAGAGGGGAGAGGGAGAATCCGAGATGACGAGCGCATGCGTGAATTACTTGGCCATCGGCCTTCCTGGGCAAAGGAGGGGACGAGGGGACGTGGAGGGGGAGCCCAAAGCAGGGAGGTGGGCGGTGGGCGGTACCCCCACGAGGCTGATGGATGGAGCGAAAGAACGTGTTGCTTACCTGGTGCATTCCTGAAAGTTCAGGCGAAGGTGGTGATAATATGCGCGGGGCGGTGGTCAAGGCAATGGAGCAATCGTCTCGGTGGTCGACGATATCGTGGACTCGTGGGTGTGGTGTTGAAAGTAGCAGATGCAGAGGCAGAGGCAGAGGCAGCGCAAATGTTCCCGCTGATTCTGGTTGGCCTGACGTGGGTCGAAGAGTTGAGCACGCGCCACCAAATGACGACGAGCCGAGTCTTTTGCGGATGGAAAGCGCGAATCACTTGCGGCAACACCATACACCACACAAAATGTATATCCAGACGATAGCAGTGACCCCCTCCATACACAAAGTACAAAAACAAAAACAAAAAAACAAAAGTCACAAACAATTAACCACTTCACCGGGACAGATATATCACATTTCTGTTACATCCGACCGACAGGCTACACTGCACGCCAACTGGAACCAACCCTAATGGAAAGGCCAATGGATGGCGATGCCTAAGCTAAGGTATGAGATGCCTATGGGTCCACCACCCGCCGCAAGAGTAGTCGCCGTTGAAGGCATTGATAGGCGACGACCCATCTGGGGCACTTGGCCCAAGTAGGCGAGGTAGACTCAAGCAACGCTGCCTCCCACTATATTTCAACGAGTAGAATCGCTCGAGGCTGACACGAGGCGCCCGTCCATTCTGCGAAACTAACACCGCACCGCACCATACCCGCACAACAAAATGTGGGGGGTACACCGGACGGACACCTGGAGGGGGGGGTTTATTTTAGGAGTGACTGAAGCCTCAAGATCTTCCAGCTGAAAAGTGCTTGACAGAAATGGCACATTATCTTGTCAACGGCAGTCAACGGCTGGGACCGGTTGTACTACCTAACATGCGGTCAGCAAAGCAGCACCTCAGAATTCTCTCACATCAACCACGACCCTCTGGGGTATACCTCCATTCGTAGAATCATTGCACTTGCTCGGGGATGCCCAAGTATTTCTTATTATTTCTTCGATAATCACGACACTCGTCATGCACGAAAACGTATCGTATCAGTTTCCTCCCGTCCCTCACCGCTGTTGTTTGGAGGACGAGACCCTCTTGACCGCTCATACAACCCTGCTAACGGAAATGCGCCTCGAACACCATGCCATTAATGCTCGTTCCTAATCGTACATTTTGCCTATTGGTGGCGGACTGCGTAATCCGTATCTGGCAGATACAGATGGCGATTAGCCCCCTTGGCCGTCAAGACCACCATTCTGATCACTCCTCCCGAACTTCCATCCCACTTGATAGCCTCTTGTAATGCACCCTTGACAAAGTCAACTGCCTCTTTCTCTTCCATTCCCTCCTTCCAGTTGGCGTCACAGTATCCGTAGATATATGTTGAACCAGATCCTCCGATGGCATATGATTGCTTGTGTAACGATCCTCCCAATGGTATCGAATAAACCTGTCCACCATGTCGCTCATCCCATCCAGCAATGATCAATCCGGCACTGCCTAAAGTCAGTTTTGAAACAACGCCATCAAAAATACGAAACCATACCTCAATCGATCCTTGTTATCGTAACACAATTCCTGGAACATCGCCGCGGCAGTTTGAGTGGTCGGTGGTCTGCCATTTTGAATTCCATACATTCCCAGTTGATAATGAACGATATCCGCAACTGCTTGTGTATCTGCCGCAGACCCTGACCGACAGCACCAGATGGTATCGCTGACTTGTGTAAGCTTGTCCGTAACTCGGTTTGCAATGTATGATCCAGTTGTCGTTCTACTATCCGCGCCTAATCATTCAACATATCAGCCTGTGAACTGAATGCGCCAGAATTCCATAAACATACCCAATATGACACCATCTTTGAAGTTGATAGCCATGCTAGTTCAAAGTTAGATTGGCGTTGGAGGGGTCGCTCAAACTGAAGCTTACATTGAAGTTCCTAAGCTGCGTATATCATTAGTACATTAAAATACATAAGGAACGTATCGGCAGATCTTACTTGACTTCGCCCTTCTTCAGGCGATCCATATCGACGTGAATTCCATCTATGGGAAGCTGTAATCAGCTATTGTTCCAAGTGTCGCCTGTCCATATGGGTCAAACCATACCTTCGTTCAGATTTCCTGAGGTACCGAAATCCATGATGATTATTGCAGATGGTGGGAAGTTGGGCGAGAATTGAATTGTTCTGTCAAAGTGGTGTATGAGGTTGAACAGCTTCTGGATTGATGGAGCTGTTGCTGTTGTCGCCGAAGCTCTTGGAGCTCAGGCAGTCGAGACGCGAGGCTACACGTGATTGGGATTAGTCAGCCGCTTCCTAGGTCTCAAAGCCGCGCGCCAATGATTGAGGTTAGAAGTGAGAAGTCGAGAGCTGAAATGTAAGATTTCTCTATCGAATTTGTATCGTTGATTTCACTATTGGTAGCTCATCACTGCCTCCCAAGACCGGGTTTGAAAGAGATTTCCCAAATATCGACCATCTCTACCAGATAAGGTGCAAAGAAAAGTACAGATACAATCGAAGATTCTCTAATTCATTTACCAAAGTAACCTCGAGGGTAGTGATAGTCAAGAGAAATATGTAGAGTATTTCTTCTACCAAACTCCAAATCTCAAACAAAATGCTTTCCCAAAATTGCCCTTTGACGCCGTGCTTTAATGCCTTCAACCTACTGACTCTCCCAATCTATATACACCCTACTCAAACATCCTACCAAAATGTACAAAGTTCATCCCCCTCTAGTCAAACTGCAAAAAATGGTCAGTATTTCCCCCATAACCCTATATTCCTCACCCAGGAAAGAGACAAAACTCACCCCTCCTTATCACTGATAGTCAAAGGCGTAAAGTCCTTCTTCCCCTTTTCCTTCAGCCCCTCTTTCCCCCCTTTTTTCTTATCCTCTGGATCCTCCGCACACCCACAGTCATAGAAATCTCCAATATTGCTACAATCAAAAAGCGGTTTCTTCAGCCTTTTATTAACCTCATTGTGTACATGACACGCCCACGCCGCAGCCGTACTCCTGGTCGCAACTTGCGGCGGAAACTTCTTCAATATCTTTTGAAAATGTCTGGCGCAATCACCACAAGGGTATAGTCGTGCAAAGAGGTGGATGTAGGTATTTAATGCGGCGCTGTCATCGGGTGTGGGCTTGTCGGGAAATTTGGCCATCATCGTGTGGAAGAGTTTCCAGGATGCGTGGCCGAGTTCTGCCCTGGGAAAAAGTATGTTAGTGATGAGAGATTAAAAGGAGAGGGGGAAAATACTTTAACGTTGCATTTTCGATTTTGGCGGCTGTCGCGGTGCCTTTCAATACGCTGTCGTCGAGCTTTGCTAGGGGTTGTTGGTTGGAGGAGAGGTATTCGGAGTCTGCTAGGTTTCCGCCGCGGCTGTGGGTTGAGAGAATGAATGTGAAGCTTAGGAAGATGGCTAGTCCTATGCCTATGGTCACGGCGAGACGTTGTCTTCGTGTCATGGCGAAAGATTTCTTTTGCGATTGAGGATGTTTGTGGGGTGTAAGAGTAATCGCAAACGGTGGCCTTTCGATTTGGCTTCGAGATATAATCGCAGAGGGAGAAAGGAAGCAATGAAAGGCTAGAATGTGAAGTAGTAATTTATTTCCACCTGCATTCTCATCAGGGGAAAATTTACTCTATGACCATCGAAGTTTCGCACAAAGTACTCGTATCGTCCATTGGTAGGTGAATGAGCGTCTGAAGTAGAGTGACGAAGTGAGAGACCACAAGGTGCCCCTGCAATTGCCTGTCCCCGTATTTCGGCGCTTAGCTCCCATCTTAATCGCCGAAAAGCCAACCTCACAAGCCTGAAGGTGCAAGGCACCCGCTGCAACTTCCCTGTCATTGCGTAACGACCCCGCCAGAGATTGGGTAACGTTGGCCTCCGACTTCGCACTAAATAAAAAGGTGATCGCAGAGTTACTCAACTCAGGACAGTACCACCCGTCAGCATAACCTTACCAATACCTGATTGGACTCACCTTCACTGCTTGGTGATCATTCTTTTGTCATTCTTCGCCTCAATTCAACTTCAATTCCTGTGCCGATTCTTTCCAAAGTTGTTACAGAGTACTAGGACATTTCCAAGATGGTTTTCCCCCCACCTCCTGTCAATACTATTGACTGGAGTGACATAGGATTCAAAGTTAGAGAAGGTGAGTCAATTCCGTGAACAAGAACTTGGGAATACTCCTTCGAGAGCTTCTAAATCTCCTATTGTCACCGATCAATTGTTCTGGGGAATTGGAATTGGATTTAGTGGTCCATTTCCTGTGGGCTTTTCAGTCAATTGGGCATCCAAGAAGATATTCCTCGATCCAGTTATCTACACTCTTTAGAAACAACAAACCACCTATAATCACCAATTGCCATCACCCATACTCATACTCATACTCACACTGCCCGAAACTCAGCTAACCTCTCCTTCACAGTAAACGGCCACATCGAATCCCACTACAGCGTCAAAACCGAAAAATGGACCCCTCCAAAGTTCGTCACCGACCCTTTCCTTCGAATCCACGGCATGGCTCCAGGTCTCAACTACGGCCAACAAGCCTACGAGGGTCTCAAAGCATTTCGAACCCCAGATAACAAAATAACCATCTTCCGTCCTCAGAAAAACGCCGTCCGCCTCCAACACTCTGCATCTTTCATCTCTGTCCCACCTGTGCCAGAAAAGACATTCATGGAATGTGTCCACGCTGCCGTAGCACTAAACGCCGCCTATGTACCACCTCACGAAACCGGTGCAGCTATGTACATCCGACCACTCGTATTCGGTTCATGTGCACAGTTGGGACTGAGTCCGCCGGAGGAATACATGTTTTGTGTTTATGTTCTGCCGGTGGGGGTTTATCATGGTGTTCATCCTGTTAAGGCATTAATTCTGGAGGAGTTTGATCGCTCGGCTCCTGATGGAACAGGGAGTGCGAAGGTGGGTGGGAATTATGCGCCGGTTCTGAGGTGGAGTGATAAAGCTAGGAATGAGGGGTATGGAATCACTTTACACTTGGATAGTAAGACGAGAAGCGAGATTGATGAGTTCTCAACAAGTGGCTTTATTGGGGTTAAGAAGGAGGGCGAGAGCGTGACTTTAGTGGTTCCGGATAGCAAGTGTGTTATCAAGAGTGTTACTAGTGACTCCTGTCTTCGAATTGCAGAAAGCAAAGGCTGGAAAGTCGAGGAGAGATCTGTGAGTTCCCCCCTTTCCTTCCCATTTCCCATATTATAAATGCCCTTGAACTTGACTAACACCCACAGATCATATACGAAGAACTCCCTACCTTCACAGAAGTTTTCGCCGCCGGCACCGCCGCAGCACTCGTCCCCATCAAATCCATCACCCGCACCTCACGTAACGAAACCACCCAATACATCAAAGAAGACTCCGAGGATCCCGGGCCAGTTTGCGTGGAAATCCTTTCCACTCTGAAAGGCATCCAACAGGGCAAAATCCAGGATAGTTTTGGATGGAATTATGGCGTTGAGGAGGTTGATATTGGAAAATATGAGGACAAAGCTGGGGAGACGAATGGGGTTAATGGTGGTGTTGATGGGTTACCTTAGGAATGAATGGGTTAGGGATGGAGAGGGAAATGGATAGGTAGGTAGGTAGATAAAATATAGGGGAGTTTGAATCTTTGTTTACTTTTTTGTGTTCTTGGTTTTGGGTGAGTGTGTTTTGAGGGGGTGGGTTGAGATGTGATTACCTAACCTAAAGTATTGTGTTCACTACACATTCTCCAATCTCCTATTTGAAATACTCGAGGTACGTGCATATAAAATAATACGGATTATGATATCCATCCCATCCTATCGAAGATCCTATCCACGTCCTTCCCAACCCCTTTGCAGTACCTACCTACCCCCTGTAGAATCAGCGATTCCATTATCCGGAGTATATAGAATTATAAATGAGTCCATTTATATGAGCTGAATATAAACTTCTCCGATAATAGAGCAAAAGCGTTTGCAGAGATTAAAAATGAGTTGGATTTCAAAGATTTCTCTGATTTTAGCAAGACTTAGTTTGCTTTCAATTCGCTACTACTAGATATCACCACCTCAATCTCAACATTCGACAGGTCTCTGGAGATGAATAGATAACCGTATTAATTGAGAAGCTCGTCTCGTCTCGTTTTTTAGTATATTATATATGACAGTACTGGAACGCTATCTGGAAATGCGTTATGTTGCGTGTATAGTAAGAATAAGGGCTTCTACTTCGATACATATAGGGGATAGTAGTAGAAGTGAATTCCAAGATAAGTGTTGTTTGTTTTCTAAAGGCATGTAAATGGCGTTACCCTTCTACTTTAAGTAGCTGATTCACAACATACCTCAATCGACCTCTTATCCCTTAAAGCACTAAGATTACAACTATTACTGTGGGTCTTCTTCCCCATAGCTGGATACGTATACATAGAAGCTTGATTGTGGCTATGCTGTTATTCACGTCGAGAGAGGGGTTAAAGAGTGGACGAATAGAGGTGGTTACTTGTGTGTGTATTATATTATTGCTTAAAAGGATCTAGGCGGAGAGGGGGGGTTCTGGTGAGTGACGCGAAAAGGGGGTTCTGAGGGTGCGTTGGGTTGTGGATGTGGAGTGTTCGTGTTTATGGACTCTGTTTACAGTATCCAACGATGGCGGTTTGTGAGAGAGTGTGTGGTTGGGTGGTGGGGTGGTGTGTGTAGAGTCTTGTTGGTTACTCCAGACTGTAAAAATAGAAATGCAGCTATTGTGGCCTGTTTGAAAATCGACTGTTTCGCCTCTGGGGAAGATTGCAGATTTGTGTGGCTGCTGTCTGTCGCTTGATAAAACAGATTTGAGCCAGAGGTTGGTGTTGATAACTGTTGGGTTGTCGATAGCTATCCACTACTTTTGAAGGAATCAAAGGCGTAGTTGAGGTTTGGGATCTTATTGGAAAGTGGGCGTATGATATTTGTTGGCGTGTATTATAATGTACTGTGGTGTATAGTTGAGAAGTATGTGGTATTTGAGACAGTGTGCTTTCTTTCTTATGGTTCTAACTTTTTGTTTTGGTCCTTTGGAGCTGGGAGATGGGTTGCTAGAGACTGGGATGAGATATACCAGGATGGATGATACTGGTACTGGATTGGTGATCTGGCTTTAATTCAAGGAGCTCAAAGAGAATTCGTAATTAGTAGGGTAGTTTGAAACCGAAGGATCACTACATGTATTCTTCTTAGTGTTTATGTAACTAATTCGACGCTAGCTCCCTGGTAAGATGAGTTAGTTTATCAATCTTGAATTCTTTTTCTTCATTTCTTAGGAGTATTACTAATTTTGAAATGAGCCTACAAGAGACTAGCAACTTCGCTAAGATACCCAGGATTTGTTCATCCAGGCTAGCTTTCTCTACTCCTTTAGTTCTTGAACTCAATTTGAGAAATCTGGCGTTGCTAGTGAATTTCTAATCCTGCTAAACTGGCTTGAACGGATGACTCGAAAGTTCACTGAGAAAGGTTTAGTTGGGTAGGCTTTCTCTGGTTATTTAATTCTTATACCCAGGTTAGGATTCAGGCGTTGCTAGTGAGGTTCTCATCATGGTAACAGCTTTAAAGACTAATTAAGAAGATCTTTTACAAATAAGACTGGAAGGTCACCTGATATCTCTATAATATGAAAGTTCAGTATATCAAGAGGTAGAAAACCCTCCTGACGCAATCTTCGTTCAAAATTTCTCTGTAAGCGACTGCCGCCTAACTGCGCGCAAGCCCCAGGGACCAGTTGTAGTTAGTGCACGTGTTGGATTTCCAAGGTATGGGGTCAAGTAGGTCATGTAGAATTGATTGAATTGTAAAGCAGTTATTGTACAGAGTATATATATGAGAATAGGGGTAAAAAGAGTGGAGTAGTATCCCAATGCGGAAACAGTGCAAATAATGAAATACATGTATAAATAATGAAATGAGTGGTTTCCACGGTTCAACAGCACGACCCACGATTCTTAGCTTTCTTTCTCGTACATACACGAAAGTCGCATATTTGGCTTCATATGTCGAAAAACCTGCATTTGGAGGTGGAGGGGGGGGGTTACTAGGGATACTGCATTCTGAGATATGAATGTTGACTCTTATGACGACAGCAAAGGGTTTCTTGACAGCAATGTATTTTTTGAATGTTGAGAGTTTGGATGAATATACCAGATTTTTCTACAGTAATTTTCTATCGTTGTGAGAAGGAGAAAGGCTATTTGGTCTTCAACAGTCTCACGAATACAGTAGTAGGCTGGTCACCCTTGACGCCATTGGATCTATTCTTCTTGTGTCACATTCCCTTATCGCGATTTTCTCCATCTAACTTAATTCTTAGTATAATTATTTATTTATAATACTTGCTAACAGAAATCTGCTAGTTTGTGAGATCTTGCGCTGAAAGGAGGAGTTTGATTACGGCGTGAGCTGTTAAGGTAGGGAGGGAGGCTGTCTCAACGGTGGAGAATGATTGTTAATATATCAGCCATATTTTTGTGAAAGCTAGTATACAGGGTCGAATGACCTCTATACTAAAGTTCTGCGAAATGGAAAGATGTAGTATCGTCGTCAGTGGTTGTATGGATGAAGTATTGGTCTGTTTGATTTTCTGTTCAATATTATCAGTGATCAGTTCACTCAGAGTTAATAGGGTTGTACGAAACGACAGTTTGGCGTCTGTGATGGACTATAGTGGTAAGGCAAAATCTATGTATCTTGGAGAGAGGAGGTGAAGTGCTTATATATGCTTTGGCTACTTTCAATTTGGGCCTTTGGGAACTCAAATCTGTTTCCAGCGTGCCATGAAATCTGAAGACAGTGTGTGATACTGAAAACTACAAGAACATATGGTTGATTCAATGCCCAGTGAATGATAGCTCAACTCGTCTGTGGCGAGAATATTCACTATTCTTTGGAACCTGTAGCCAGAGTATTTACTTTGATAGGTGACAGCTCAAGGAGTTGGGTGGGGAACCTCAACAGTCACGTGGAATATAGCGCTGACTAAATTGCCTGGCGCGCAAAAGTGCCATAGCTTTAGGAACGACAGTCCAGGTTTCATGATCGCAACAACAACCACCAATTCTACAGCATAAGCAGCGCAATATGTCTGACGCCGACTTCGACACGATCAGGAAGCTTCAGGCTGAGCGGAATGCCGCTTCTGCTGGTAAGAAGGGGTCAAAGACGTTTGATCCATCGCAACAACGAACTGATGTATCCACCAAGGCGTCCCTGACTGAAAGCTTCGATACGACACTTTATGAGCGCGAATCATCCGATAAGTTTGCAGGATACAATACATCTATTGCTGTGGCAGATGGCGATGATGATGAAGAGGAAGAGGATACGAGCCGCCGGCTGGTTGGACAATACACGGCGTCGAGGGAGCAAATGAACGAGTTCAGTCACGGCAATGGGGTTGAGGAAGAGGATATTTTGCTGGGAAGGGAGAAGAGCGCGCGGATTTCTGATCGCGAAACTGACTATCAAAAACGTCGACACGACCGAGTTCTAACACCCACCAGAGTCGATCCTTTCGCGGCGAATAGACAAGACGGAGCGGCCGAAGATGGCGAAAGTTACCGAGATGTTATGGCGCGACGAGAGCTAGAGCGGGAAGAGGAAAGAGTTCGTAAAGCTATAGAGGAAAAGACGGCGAATGGCGAAGTGGTTCATCACAAAGCGAATCTGGCCGACGAGGGAAGTGCTTCTCCCAACGGCGAGGAGAGCAAGGAATCTGAATCTAAGGAGGTTGCCACTGCAGGTCGTAAGCGAAAACAACGATGGGATGTTGGCACAGAATCCGATAAACCCACAACAGAAGCTTCCGAGGCCAAAACCAAACGATCGCGATGGGACCAGACACCTGCTATTGGAGGCGTGGCCGTGGATGAGACGCCTCGACGACGATCGAGATGGGATCAAGCACCAGCAGCTACACCAATGGGCAACCAGGGGCTCGTAACTCCCATGCATCCTTCTCAAATGGGTGGACCAATTATGCCAACTGCCTTTGGTACCGATATTTCAATGAGAAACGCTCCTCTATCAGATGAAGAACTCGATATGATGTTGCCTACAGAAGGATACAAGATTCTCGACCCACCTCCAGGATATGCCCCGATTAGAGCTATTGCTCAGAAGATGATGGCTACTCCAGCTCCTGCCGGTGGAGCATCTGGATTTGGAGGATTCATGATGCAGGATCCGGAGAGTGGAAGAGCATTGGGAAAACAACTCCCTACCGAAATACCTGGTGTTGGCGACCTCCAATTCTTCAAGGCAGAGGATATGGCATATTTTGGCAAGCTGACAGATGGGAGTGACGAGAATTCGATGAGCGTTGAAGAACTCAAGGAACGCAAGATTATGAGACTTCTGCTGAAAGTAAAGAACGGAACTCCTCCAATGAGAAAAACGGCTCTCCGTCAGCTCACAGACAATGCACGCCAATTTGGTGCTAGCCCGCTCTTCAACCAAATTCTTCCCCTTTTGATGGAAAAGACTTTAGAAGACCAGGAGCGGCATTTGCTTGTCAAGGTTATCGACCGTGTACTTTACAAGCTCGACGAACTTGTCCGCCCTTACGTTCACAAGATCTTGGTTGTCATTGAACCTCTATTGATTGATCAGGACTACTATGCTCGTGTGGAAGGTCGAGAAATTATTTCAAATCTTAGTAAAGCTGCAGGTCTTGCCCATATGATCAGTACTATGCGACCGGATATTGATCACGTCGATGAATATGTTCGAAATACCACAGCAAGAGCCTTCGCAGTTGTCGCCTCGGCACTTGGCATTCCGGCATTACTTCCTTTCCTGCGAGCAGTTTGCAGAAGCAAAAAGTCGTGGCAAGCTCGTCATACCGGTGTCAAAATTGTTCAACAAATTCCTATTCTTATGGGTTGTGCAGTTCTACCACATCTAAAGGGCCTTGTTGATTGTATTGGTGGCAATTTGAACGATGATCAGACAAAAGTGCGAACAGTCACAAGTTTAGCCATTGCAGCATTAGCCGAAGCAGCAAATCCTTATGGTATTGAGAGTTTTGACGAGATATTGAATCCTCTGTGGAGTGGGGCCAGAGTTAGTACTTTCCTTTTTCGTTTTTTCTCTCCCACACCATTTCTGTAGGGAGATCCCGTCATTGCCAGTTAGGCCTGGAATACCCTCTAATTCCAATGGGAGTGGCAATGATTCTCCGAGATCATCCTATCTCTTTTCAACTCAAATTCTTCAAATAACCATAACAGTCTTTGAAAGAGTTTATGAGGACTGGCGAATCGAGTTTACGATTCTTCCTAATTATCTTGGATAATTATCTTTGATTATCCCAGACCATTTGGCGCAATCCAAAACGAACGAGGCGCTCGAGCACAATGAACGATTTTCTTACCCTATTCCTAACCATTCTACTGTTTATGCACCCAATACAAACTTCCAGATATATGCTGACTGGGATCATAGAAACAACGCGGAAAGGGCTTGGCTGGTTTTCTCAAAGCTGTCGGTTACATCATTCCTTTGATGGATGAAGAATATGCCAATTATTACACAAGTCAAATCATGGAAATATTGCTTCGAGAATTCTCTTCTCCAGATGAGGAGATGAAGAAGGTCGTTCTGAAAGTTGTTTCTCAGTGCGCTGGAACGGATGGTGTTACAGCCGGTTATCTGAAAGAGCATGTTCTGGATGAATTCTTCAAGAGCTTCTGGGTTAGACGAATGGCTTTGGACAAGCGAAATTACAGACAAGTTGTCGAAACGACAGTGGACATTGGTCAGAAGGTTGGCGTCGGAGAGATTGTTGAGCGAATTGTCAACAATCTCAAAGACGAAAGCGAAGCTTACCGAAAAATGACAGTGGAAACTGTAGAGAAGGTCATTGCCAGTCTAGGGGCCGCAAGTATCAGCGAGAGATTGGAAACACGACTTATCGACGGTATACTGCATTCATTCCAAGAACAAAGTGTCGAGGAGATCGTAATGCTTAATGGATTCGGTACAGTGGTCAACGCCCTCGGAACACGATGCAAAGACTATCTTCCTCAAATTGTTAGTACCATCCTCTGGCGGCTGAACAACAAATCGGCCACGGTTCGACAGCAAGCCGCAGACTTGATCTCACGTATTGCAATGGTGATGAAGCAGTGCGGCGAGGATGCATTGATGGGCAAGCTTGGTATCGTGCTCTACGAATATCTTGGAGAGGAGTATCCTGAGGTACTTGGTTCGATTCTTGGTGCACTCCGTTCCATTGTCACGGTAGTGGGTATTAGTCAAATGCAACCGCCCATCAAGGATCTCCTCCCACGACTCACCCCCATCCTAAGAAACAGACACGAGAAAGTTCAGGAAAATACCATTGATCTTGTGGGTCGTATTGCTGACAGAGGACCTGAGAGTGTCAATGCGAGAGAATGGATGCGAATTTGCTTCGAGCTCTTGGACATGTTAAAGGCACACAAGAAAGGTATCAGAAGAGCTGCAAATAACACATTCGGTTTCATTGCGAAGGCAATTGGACCTCAAGATGTGCTCGCCACCCTTCTCAACAATCTTCGAGTACAGGAACGACAATCGCGTGTGTGTACCGCCGTCGCCATCGGTATTGTCGCTGAAACTTGTGCGCCTTTCACCGTCCTTCCAGCACTCATGAACGAATATCGAGTTCCCGAACTGAACGTGCAAAATGGTGTCTTGAAATCACTATCTTTCCTTTTCGAATATATTGGAGAGATGGCCAAGGACTATGTTTACGCTGTGACTCCCTTACTCGAGGACGCTCTCATTGACCGAGACCAAGTACATCGGCAAACTGCAGCCTCTGTTGTCAAGCACGTTGCCTTGGGTGTTGTGGGGCTCGGATGCGAGGATGCGATGCTCCACCTTCTTAATTTGTTGTATCCCAACCTTTTTGAAACAAGTCCCCATGTCATCGATAGGATCATCGAAGCCATCGACGCCATCCGTATGGCTGTTGGCCCCGGACTCACGATGAATTACGTGTGGGCGGGTCTCTTTCATCCAGCGCGGAAAGTTAGGCAACCATACTGGGTAAGATTTCTCTCATGTCCTGAAAGTCCCGAAGGAAGATATGCTAACCGGTACTAGCGATTATACAATGACTGTTATGTCCAATCAGCAGATGCCATTGTGCCTTATTATCCCAACTTGGATGACGAGAAGATGGATAGACCGGAATTGGCGATTGTTATTTAATTGTGGTGGGGCAGGACGTGATACCAAGAGGGAAAGGGGGCACGTTTCTTTTCGATTGTATGATATTGGGGTGTATGTAAGAAGAAAAATATAAGCACTAATCGACTCAGGTCTTCCTTCTCATGACTCCATCCTCCTCGCCACGGAAAGTAACCGTGATGAAACTTTTAGCAGGTCCAATTATTCATTATTGTCCTGATAAATTCATCCCAGGCGAAATAAAAAGTACACAATGCAAACTTTTCTAGGGTGGCTACCTAAGGCGAGCTGTTGAAAGTCACATGGTTCAAAAACGAACCACTCCCTCCCATGTTAAGGTACATGACCATTTTTTTCCGCCTAGGACGAAGGGAAGTAAATAAAAGTGGTGCGAGTTCCTCAAGTAAGGATAGGAGAATTTCCTCCCAATCGAGCAATTGATCAACAAAAGCACTACTTGTACCATCCTTCATTATTCATATTTCGGAGGTAAATCACTTTCCCACCTCCTCCCTAGGAAAATTACAATTCCTTATTTTTTTCCTTCTAGAATACTTGGTTTTTGACTATCTGAGGAGATCCATTTTTTCCCCTTCCCTTCTGTTTCTTCTTTTTCCCAATACTTTGGGAGGGTGTGTGGGGAGGGGGGATTATGTCTATCAGGTCTGAGACTTTGAGGACTTGGTGACCTAGAAGTATGTCCAAGACTAAGGAAGAGAGGTTGATCGAGGTCTTGATTCGCTTTAGCTGTGAGTAGAGTGGCTCTGAGGAAAGAAGGGAGGAAGGGAAGAAGGGAGGAAGGGAAGGAAGTGGGATTACTTCGCTTCTAGTGTACTTCTACTTCGTAAGTCCCAGGGGAGATAAGTGTACTTCGATTACGGTATCTTTCCTAGAGTACTTACTAGTGGCTTCAGTGGAGAAGAGGTGAAAACCCACCTGCACTCACCTGGAAAAGGTACCGGTACGGTTTTCTTCGTCTTGAGAGTCGGGACGGAGTGCGAGTAGGGTTCGCAACTTCGCATCCGCGGATGATTGTATGATTCCGTAGGTATGTCTTTTTGTTTTTTCTGCTCTAGATCTAACGCCATATGAGAAGGGAAGGGAAGGGAAGTCCTATTCGTGTGCCACTATGTCGAATATTCTGATTCTTGGTGCGGGAAAGACCTATGATTTGAGCACTAAGGGTTCGCGTTGTTTCGTACCTAGCTTTTCTGCGCTGTTCTGGTACTTATCCACGTTATCGTCCTTCCGGGGTGGGGATGAGGAGTGTCGAGCTGTTTGGTATTGTATCTACATTCTTAGGGAGTAGAGCCCTTTCTGGTACTCGTTCATTTTACAGTACTTTTCTGAATGGGAATGACAAGTGTCAAGCTGCGTGGTGGTTGGAGATGCATCCTTCCTTCCTTCCTTCCTTCCTTTCTGTCTAGGTAGATAGCTAGTTATATCAGATGTCCAATTCCTCTTCCTACACCATACCGCTCAGTTCTTGCTCAGTCCTGAGACATGGAACTTGGCTAAAGTATCCAACTACACATACCACCAGGGCTCGCGATCTCAAGGCGCTGCTACCATCCTCACTCCCTCCATCTCAACCGAAATAGAGAGAGATAATAGAACCATATACTTATACCCCGTGTATAAACCGTCAAGCGGCAGTACACAAAATCTTACTTCTCTAATAACTTTCATCCCTTCCACGCCATCATCCTCTCATCCTCACATCCTCCATCTCCTCCTCACTTCCTCCATCTCGGGTAACAGAACCCCATACCCCGTGTACAACCCGTCTCATGGCAGTATACAAAACATCACCCCGTCATATCCAATTTATCCCTTCCGTCCACACAATCTCTCACAATATTGAAGGGTCCAAAAAAACAAAGAGAAAGTGCACAAGAAGTAACTACTTCTACGATACCACGCTCAGATTGAGGCTCAAATGCTTGGACCCATGTCCTTATCCCTGTCCTGGTTGGCTCACCTCAATGTCTTTCTTTTACGAGGGGCCCAGGGGGGGCAAGCACATTATGGATATGGATACCCTTCTCCACTTCTTATGCGCCGGGGTAGTTTTTGATCGTATGATGCTTTGGGATTGGGAAGGGATATTGAGAGTTTGCGGCTCTGTCTTTAGCGTGAAAACTTTCGCTTCTTTGCGGTTGCTTTGGTGCGTTCCTGGGTGGGTGACGTTTGGTGGAGAGATGTGCGTGCATAAGTTGTCTGCTTTCTCAAAGGATGGATGGGTGGTATGTCTTGTGGGGAAATAGCCATGTCATATCCCCAAGGTGTGCTCTGAGCCGTATTTCAACGGTGCGGTGCCTCAACGGCGTAGACCTCTTATCAACCTTCCACCCAGCGCATGAAGTATTCACTCGTGCCGCTCCAAAGAGCTGAGGGGGATTTGGTCCGGGGAAGGGCAAGTTACGAATCTCGCTTCGCTTCGCTTCGCTTCTTCGAGCCTCAGTGAGGGCAAGGCAGACCCGACTCACGCAATCGGGCAGAGCAAGTGGTGATGGTTGCGTAAGACCTCACTCAGCCTCGCCTCGCTGTTCGAAGAGTTCCAGGGTACTGTACGTCGTACGTACGTGCCTTGCCTTGGTTGGGATTTATGTCCAAGATAATGTTGTCAAACAACCACCCATATGCAATCATAACTAGGAGATTTTCCGGTTCCAAACCTTCCTACTCGCACCGCGTCCCCGCTTCCAAAGGGAACTAACTACTGTTTCTCCCACAAATCACAGTCCTAGATGACTTCACATCCACTTTCTCGGATGGATCAATCCACAGTGGGAGACCTTGGTTTGGTTGTTTTCCATGACGAGTCCCACTTACCTGCGAATCGTAGTATCTCAATACTTGGTCGTCCATCTTCAAAGTCAATCGTCTTCCAGGAAAACCCGGGTGGGACGACAGTGGATAGAGCTAGAGGGGATGGATGAGCAGAAGAGAGCAAGATCATCTTTCGGACCATTCTTTAGAGATCAGCTTCTTCTACGGGGCCCGTAGGTAGAACATTCCACTTCACGATCTTCTGCGCAGCGCAGCTCAGGAATCATACAGAGATCACTCTTAGGAAGCCCACTGTCGTCCCACTACTATCGTCCCACACGTTTTCTCTGATTTAGAGACGATGCTTCGAAGTACACCGCAGTATTGCAAGTTTTTTTCTCTGAGGCATGACAACTCACGGCTCTGCGGCGTATCTGAATGAACCTTCGCTACTTTCATCGCAGTGGCAAACGGGAAGCGGAAAGAACTGCCGGTCTGTTCTAGCCAGGAGATTCCAGATAGATCCAAGGGGACCGGAAGACTCGCGATAGGAGGGGCTATCCATAAGGTTGTATCGATGTTTTTTCTTCTAACTTCTTTCTCAACAAGTGTTAGTGCTCGTTGAGACATCTCTCGCGGATTAGTACTAGATCATATGCAAGGCAATCCACTTCCAGAGTGGACAACCCGTATTATTGACAGCTCCTCCATCCGTCAGTGCTTCGTCGCGTGGGAAATCCACACATCCCAACTCCCCCCCTTCCTCTCATCCTTGAGCCAGGAAAATTAATACGATCTCGCAAATCACATAATTACCCACGATGTGTACGCACGGCCATTGTTGAGGCAATCATAATACAAAAAAGAAAAACGGCCCGAAGATTACTCACATCGTTGTCTTTCGACTCTTTGACTTCATGGACTCTTGGGGTTGCCATCAAGACCGCACCACCCACCCCCATCACTTCACCGACTTTCCACACTAACGTGTCTTAGGTCGTATCTGAGCAAGAAAACTCGGCACACTCATACTCACAGGAGACTGGCTTGAGCTCGAGACATCTTAACTAGGCGCCCCGCCGTTGTTCGAGATCTTCAATGAATGAGGCTGTCTGTATGCCCGTTAGGCACATCCTTTTCCCCCCTCAAATTGGGAAAAGAATGGTATGAAATCCCCAGACACAGAAAGATATCCCAGGATCACGACATCTGGGTTTTTTCTCTCTCTTTCTGCCCCTGCAGATATTGCTCCAACCGTCAGCCACCATCTCACGGTAGTTGGAAATAAGAAAAATTGGCATACCCAGGTTGTTGTCTACCCGTCTGCGGGAAAAATCAAATCCTATCAAAGAAATTCCTCAAAAACAACCCGAGCAAGAAAGAACATTCATCGGCAATATTTCCCTCGGGGAGTTTTGTTCGCCAATTCGAACCAGAAAGGCTTTTAAACCTCCGTCGCCAACCGACCCCAGATCCACGGGACGTTGAAAGATGAACGCCAAATAGAAAAGAAATGAGAGTAATAACGACAAGGCGGAAACATCGTTGGTTCCAACCTGCTTGATGCCTGTCTAGGTAAAAAAACACGACGAGATGAGGAAACAATGGCGTGCCAATGTGGGGGATCGTCACTCGACAACCGCATGCCCCTTTCCCATTCGGAAAACTATCCTGGTACTAAGTGGGGAACAAGCGACTCCAACAACCTATGGCAAAGCTCGCAAGCGAGAAATGTGCCGCTCGTCTACAGTAGCCCTTTGCGCCATAACGGGTTGGCTCTGGTGGAGAACATCTGACGGATTTTGAAATGATTACTGCTGTCTTATCCCTAACCCGGCAAAGGAAAGAAAGGTGAAACAAACCAATCGTCGATCATGAACCCAGCATCTTGCTCAACAACATGCATCTACAGGGGCCTGGTGAGATTGACTTCCTGCATTTGGGACAATTGACAACAGGGGAATGGGTGCAGTGCAGCGTAGTGGGCTTTCCGCGGGCAAGCAAGGTGCCTCGACTTGAATTGATTCTGCAGTGCGAGTGTGGCTTTTTTTTTGGTCAATAGATGAGATGGGACATGTCTCCCGCTGTTTTGGTCCCAGAGTGTCCTGTGTGCATCGTCCTCGTACTTCGTACATTGTTTCTTATCGTTATCAGATGTCTCTATGTTTGAGAAATTATAGCTGCCTTGCGCGTAGAGCATCTGAAACGAATAGCAGTCGTACTTCGTACAATGTGTCAATCCCTGAGTACCTATACGGTACCTATACGCATCGTCCAGGATGGAGCGTACGGAGCGTACGGGTCGTACCGTAGTAAAGTCAATGTCAGGACATGCTTGTTGAAAGTCAGTAAAGCGTCCGGGCTCTTGGGAAAAGTCATGGATAATATTTTGGTCAGTTTTGCGGGGACAGTTGAAGGCAAGGCTCATTTGGAGGCTCAGGAAGAGGCTTGAGATGCCTCGTGGCTGGTGGGGACAGGTCTGAAATTGCGATTTCTATTCTATTCTGATCGTTGCAAGCAGTGGATCGTGACGGAAAGCTCTCGGTCAAGATATCCTAAAGGAGGAAAAGCGAAGAAGATTCTGATGTTTCGAAATTCTGATCGGGTCTCTCTGAGTCCTGAGCTTCGGTAGGAAAAGGTGACAGGTCTGGCGCAGTACCGTGCCTTTGGTAATTTGATATCTCGAGTCAATGCCATCTCCAAAGGCCCACTTCACGAGTATTGCGAAGTAGTATCCGTACATCTGAAAGAACACAAATACCTTTGTCCAATGAGGGAGGATTAATGGGGTGTAAGTAGAATGGCGTAGCAAGTTTGATCGTCTCGGTTGCTTCCGGACTTTTTGTACAATGATACGGAAGTTGTGGGACGTTGTAACACTCATTTGTTCGTCTTTACTTGTACACACACTTTTTGGGGACACACTTTTTGGGG